AGTCCATTTTTCTTATGCCTTTTTAATATCCCTTATATAATTTTTTAAAATTTATTTTTAAAAAAAGAATCACACAGTGAAGAATTTTCCATTGTGAGGAGTTTCAAAGACTAAATTAAAAGTGGAAAGACTTGACTTTGGGTTATATTTGTTTACATTAAACAAATTAACTTTTTGGTATCAGATTACCAAAAAGTTAAATTGCTTAACAAATATGATAATTAAATAAGAATTCTGGCAGACGTGGAAATAAGTAAAAGTACTGATGGAACAGATATTTATTGAGTGCCAACCATACACAAGGTGGCCTACCACTATCTGTTTCAATTGTCTTATTAAAATGCGCAAGTTTGGAAATAAGTTTGGTTTGCATTAGTCACTAAATAAGAACATAGTCACAAAAACAGAGTCCAAATTCATCAAGATAATGCTGTATATTGGCAATTAGTCACCTTGTATATTAGTGTTTGTCACTTTGACAAATAGAGACTCAAACAAAATCTTAATTTGGGAAAATCCATGGGTAAAACTATACCACAGCAGGTTGTATTACCAGAAGTCCATTAGGCTGGGCAGTCCCCAAACTCAGGACCGGCTTCCCAGTAGATCATTTAATGTGTCCTTTCTTGTTCACCGCCTGTACTGGAACACTTGCCATGGGTTATCATGCACATACCTGCCACACACCCGTCAAGAAACCCTTTTGATTGACATAAAATAGTTGATAAATATTATTTAAGTTTCCAGTTCAGATTCTGGAAAAACTGAAATGCATGTGAATGCTTAGTCTTATGACTCCTGATAAAATATCAAATGGCTAATCTGGGGGGAAAGAGTTGGATTCAAATAGGCAAAAGCATTTCACATTTCCTGTTTTCAATGGCAGACTTGGAATACAGACATAGCCCTGTGCCAGGCATTTCATTTCTGAGCTGGGTCTTTGATCACATGATGTAGACAGTGCTGTGCAGTAGAAATGCATGAGCCATACATGTAATTTAAAAGTTGGTGCTGGCCACATTATAAAAAGAAATAGGTGAGATGAATTTTAACAATACATTCTATTTAGCCCAATGACTGATTTCAACATGTAATCAGTGTAAAAGTTTAATGAAATATTTTACAGTCTTTTTTATACTGAACTCTTCAGTATCAGGTGAGTGTTTTGCTGTTAAAACATGTCAGTAGTAACTGGGTGAATTTCAGGCGCCCGTTAACGCTAATGCCCATGCTTCTGGGCAGCGTTGGTCTAAGTGGTTTTCTGAATGTGAGTGAAGCCATCACTTGCTTTATAACTGAACCCTGAAATTCTGTCTTTGATCTGATATTGTCACTGTTGAGATGTGACCTTAATATTTAATAATCTCTGAAATTGAAGAAACATCCAGAAAGAGACAGTTGTTTGCATATTTTCACTCTAAGAAAGAATATGCTAACAGCCAACAGTTTAAAAAACGAAATGGGCTGTTACCATACAAAGTTAATACCCACCCATCTCCAAGGTACTGAAGGGAAGGCCAGGTGGCCCCCTGCTGGCCTCAACTATACTAGTCAAATAACATTGTTTTGTATTATATCTATTCTGCCATCACTGCAAAAGAGGTTATTGCAAAACCTCAGAGAAGCACTACTCCAACTTTTACTACATTGTGGTTCTGTGATTTGTGGGCTCATTGCCCCTTTTGGTAGATAGTGGACAGTTATTTCATTCGCTGACCACTTTTCAGGGGCAGGCAAGCTTTAGCTAAATCAGGATCACCTGGAGGCCTGGTTAACGGGCCAATTGCTGGGCTCCACCCTCCAGTTTCTGATTCTGCAGATCTGGGTGGGGCCTGAGAGTCTGTTTCGAACAGGATCCAAGGGGAGGTCCATGGACCACACATTGTGAGTAGCACTGGTTCAGGACAGAGGTCTCTTTTCCTCTGTCCCCGGGACATTTGTCAAAATCTGAGATGTTTTTGCTTTTCACAACTGAAGGCTGAGAATGTTACTGGCATCTAATGGGGAGAAGCTAGGGGTCCTACTAAACATCCTGCAATGCACATAGCAGCCCACACAAGGAATTAACCAGCCCAAGTAGTGGTGCTGAAGTTGGGAGACCCCTGTCTTGGGGAAAATGAAGAAAATCAAGTATTTGTAACAAACTGTGTGAAGAATGTAGGGATAGGTTGTGATGAGGGCAGTGTAGGATGCTGCAGCTGATGTAGGGTGTCAACTAGGGGCACAGAGGTAGGTAAGACAGATGCTGCTCTCAGGGGCACCAGACATGCACACAGTAGGCCCATTTGCTTTTTAACTGTGGAGTAAAACTGGTGAATTGAGAAAGGACGCTACCTGGGTGGGCATGGATGGGGTTTCACGGCTTCAGTGGTATTTAACAGCTGTATAAAATGGCTTGGGTTTTGCCAGGGGCATTGTAGCTGATCATGGGGGACCCCGAAAAGCTAGAGAGATTTTATGTGGCCAGGTCACAAAGCCTTAAATGCCATTACTCTCCGGAGGGTCACCTTCATCCAGTAGGCAGTAGGATAAAGGTTCATTGTGCTTTATGAGACAATGGAATCCAAGTTGATGAGGCGCTGCTGCTAGTCATTGGCCTGTGGAGAGCCTTAAAAGTGCCTCAACTATACAAGTCAAATAACATTGTTTTGTATTATATCTATTCTGCCTCTTTGTACATTCAACCAGGAAATTCTATATACAGAGATTCTGAAGAAAAGATGGAAAGTTAAGAAAATACTAGCTAGCCCATGCATCCTTTCTGCTTGATTCCCGAATGTCTCCTGCTACTGGAGCCTGTTTGTGAATGAGAACATTTCCCAATGAGTCGCCTGGGCCCCCAGCAGCCTGCCAACGCCAGAGTGGGTGTCAGTCACACGAGGGTTAGTCCTGCTCACAGTTCGCCCAGCTGGGCGGAGACCCTCCTGGTCTTGACACAAGAATGTGTGTGGCTGGGAGGGCCTCCCACTCCAGAGCCCATGGCTATTCCTGAATAGGAAGCCTGGGTATCCTTTAGGACTTCCATCCTGGGGCTTTGCTGATTGGGTCTTAAACATTCACAGGACATTTTATATCACTTCACTCAGGATCTACATCATGGCACACACCCATGCCAAATACACTTGGGTTGGTTTTAGTATCTTCTCTCTCTTCTTCCTCCTTCCCTCTCTCCCCACACACTCAATTGTTGGTTTCCCAATCAAGCAATTTAATGAGAACCAAAGTGTATCTTTTCACTGCCTGATGAGCTGGGCACATTTTTCTGACCAGGTGACTGAGCAGCTACGGCCTGAACCACTGCCTCACGGCCCCCTGGAAATCTGCCTCCCTGGAACCTGAGGCAGGTTTGCTGATTCGTGTGCAGCAAACAATTATTGAATGCTTTTTGTGGCCCCACACTATACCAAGTGTTGTGTGTTTTTTTAGATGTATGGTTTTTAATGCATGCACACAGTTAAGAAAATTTTAAAGATAGAAAAGGTTATACTATGAAAAGTAAGACTTCCCTACCCAAATTTTCCTACTTAAAATTGTTCAGAAACCAATATAGTTGGTTTCTTGTGTGTTTTCCAGAGATGTGTTTTGCATTTGCAAACATACTTATGTAATTTTTAAAATGGATGTCCAGATATTTCTATCTAAAATTTCCTCTCGGATGAGGAATATATCGTGAATGTTGCCCCATTTTATAGGTAATGTCACTGAGACGGTGAGTATAGTAACTTGCTCAGGGTCACATAGTAGATGCAGAGCTGGAATTTTAGACCAGGAGCTCTGGTTTTAAGCAAAACTAACCCAAGATTCATGGACACACGGGCAAGCTAATGATCTCGTCCTCCACGCAGGTTCATTTGCCCCACCTCAAAGCTGTGTCTTCTTAGATCAGTGGTTCTCAACTTTGGCTGCACATTAGAATCACCTGGGAATCCTTTTAAAATCCTGATTTCTGGGCCCCATCCTCCGGAAATTCTGTTTCTTGTTACTAATGTTGTGACCCCACCTCATAACAAAGAAACAGAATTTCCGGAGGATGGGGCCCAGAAATCAGGATTTTAAAAAGATTCCCAGGTGATTCTAATGTGCAGCCAAGGTTGGGAACCACTGGCCTAGATGCTCGTTCACCATCTATCTGGATGAGGAGGTGAGGGCCTCAGCACGGAAGAATAGAGACGAACACCACCCCACCTTTTTCCTCTCCTCTCCTCCCAAGCAGTTCAGCTCTGGCCCCCAGATTGCAGATACCACCCACCAAACAGTGTCTAGCCAGGCCCACCCTCCTCAGAAGGCAATTTAGGGACCAGGAGTGATTACTCAAGCTCAGCCCCACTCAAGCTTCCTACTGCGGCCTTCGCATTTCTGGTGATGTTTTGTCTTCCTAGTGATGCTTGAGTTCCCATGCAGGATGGCAGCCCTTATCTGCCCCGGGTGCTAGGTGGGTGCCAGCCCTCAGTCAGTGGTCCTGCATCATCACAGGTCTGAGCCATTCCACACCCCCTGATGCTCAGAGCCCAGAGTTCTATCTCAGTAGCAGAGACTCTCAGCTGCTCAGGCATTACCATCACTCCTGCCATTGTGACAGCAGCTGTAACTGCTGAGGCCCTTATGCAACCAGGTGCAGTGCTTACGTTCTCAGTGGGAGTTCTCAACATAACTTGTCAGAATGGCCTATTAGGTGATCGGCAGGTTGGGGAGAAGGAACTTACCCCTTGGGGACTGTGAGATGAGAGTCTTTGTGGCCAGGACTTCATTACAATGCCTCCCAAAGACTCTGGGCACCTGCTAGGGTTCACCTTCAGAGGGGACGTGTATACATTTAGAGGGTGTTGCCTCATCAGGAATTCAGGGGTTTAACACAACTACAGAGAAATGCTGTCAGAGACCAAACTCTGGTTTTAAATTGTAACAACATGAGGTGCATGCTTCAAATTTTTGTTCCTAGCGCTAATAAAACCGAGCTGGGTTGTATGACTTTTATGTTTGTCATTTCTCTTAATTGGCAGGTAACAAGGAAGGGACCCATTCTACATTCTGGGTGTTGCTGAGCATCCTTCTGGGCGCTGTGGCCATGCTGTGCAAAGAGCAGGGGATCACTGTGCTGGTAAGACCTACTCTGAACGCACCCTTCCCCCTCCCGTAGAGGCAAAGCGAGCTGGCCCTGCCTGTGTGACCTCCTCTATTGCACCCCATTGCCAGCCTGCAGTTGTAGACATTTCTGGACTGATTACTTGTGCTCTCACAGTCCTGGTGTTGCATCAGGGAATGAGCTGTCTCAGCTGATGATCATTAGCGACTGGTGGGAATGGAGAGTGGGAGGTTCTTAAAGAGTGGCCATTGGGCCTCTTGGAGAGGTCCCATAGAAAAAGGTGAAAGAACAGTTTGGGTTTTCTTGGGTGCTCTCATATTTGGGCAGTCCTAAATGCAACAGTGGGCTGACCCCATTCATGCTTCTGGTCCTGGTTAAAGAAGTACTGAGTGTAGATCATGTTATATTTGGCTTCCATTGGAAATGTGAAAGGGCCTTTGAGGAGGAGAGGCACGCACCTCCGATGGCTAATCTGAATTGAAGCCCCTGGAAGGGAGAGGCATTGAAATCCACTTTCCTTTTTTCTCTATTCTAGCCAGTGTTCTGCCTCACATTATTAGAGGGAAATCTAGAAATCAGAGATGTGAGCAGAGGCAGAGAAATGGAAAACAAAGGTGAGGGGTGTAAATGGCCCAGGTAGGAATACCTTGGGGAAGAAAAGGCAGTCAGAGCTATTTGGGGTTTGACACAAGTCAGGCAAAGATCAGTGGTTTTATTGACTTGGTCCATAATGTTAAGGTTAGCTATCTACTGTACAAGATGGTGTAGAAGGAATTACTGTGCCAACATCCTTGGATTTCAGGAGTTACTTTTTAAAAGTAACAATTTGGTCTAAGCCAGTGTTTCTCAACTTTGCTATTACTGACATTTAGGGCTGGATCTTTTTCTTTCCTTTGTTTAAAAGTCTTTTTATTATTAATATATGTATATGTGTGTGTGTGTGTGTGTGTGTGTATGTATGTTTGATATCTATAATACTAAAAGCATAATATGCTAATTAGACCAGACAGCCCAACGACCTTCCAGATGAAACCGGGCTGCGAGGACCAAGCCTCTTGCACGAATTTCATGCATTGGGCCTCTAGTGTGTGTGTGTGTGTGTGTGTGTGTGTGTGTGTGGGTGTGTGTGTGTTTGATTTCAGAAAAGAAGGGAAAGGGAGAGAGTGATAGAAATATCAATGATGAGAAATAATCATTGATCGGCTGCCTCCTGCACACCCCCTGTTGGGGATCGAGCCTGCAACCAGGGCATGTGCCCTGAGCAGGAATCAAACCTAGACTCCTGGTTCATAGGTTGATGCTCAACCACTGAGCCACGCTGGCCTGGCATGGGCTGGATCTATTATTTTGTTAATCCTCACCCAAGGATATTTTCCCATCAATTTTTAGAGAGAGTGGTAGGGGCAGGGAGAGACAGAGAGAGAAACCTTAATGTGAGAGATACATCGATTATTTGCCTCCCACATGCACCCCAACCAGGGCCAGGGAATCGAGCCTGCAACCAAGGTACATACTCTTAACCAGAATCAAGCCCATGACCCTTCAGTCTGTGGGCTGACACTCTATCCAGTGACCCAAACCAGCGAGGGCTAGATCTTTTGTCTTATGGAGGGCTGTCCTGTGCTCTGTAGGATGTTTAGCAGCATCCTTGGCCTCCATTCACTCCAGTAGGACCCCCTCAGTTGTAACAACCGAAAATGTCTCCGACATAGTCACGCATCCCCGAGGGGCAAAGTCATCCTCTTGAGAACCACCGCTCTGAACCCATGCTCCTCAGGGTGTGGTTTGAGGCCCAGTAGCATCAGCATCCCCTGGGACGTACTAGAAATTTAGATTTCAGACCCCACACCAGGACTGCTGCATCCAAATCTCCACTTAACAAGGACCCACGGTGACTCCCATTACAGTTTGAATTTATGTGAAAAAGGATATGGTGAAATTTAGCTGTTTTCAAAAATTTGATAAGAATGTGGACAGTTTGAGGATGTGGACGTTTTGATGATACATTTAAGTGGGAAGGAGGAGGGAGGGCCAAACGTGTGTTTGGCTCGGTGCCCCTGACGGCAAGGCCCCGTCACCCGTGGTGACTGTCCTACAGCTCACAGGCAGAAGCACAAACGGTGTGAAAAGACAGTGACGGCAGCAGCTCAACAGGGAGCCCTGCCTCCTAGAAAATAGTTCACGCCCGGGCAGAAATGGCCTCCTGTGACCCACTAAATCATGTGTCGCTTGGGTGAATGAAATCAGGATTCTTGAAATGATTAATCCAGCACTGGCCCGTGTATTGGCTAATGAATGGCTCCCAGCATTTCTGGGAGAGGGTTAAGTAGGGATGTCATCCTTGCTCTGAAAACCACGAATCACCACTGGCTTCTGATGATTTATGATCTTTGCCACGAAGCCCCATATTAAAAAGATGCAAGTCATTTAGGGTCAGTGTTATCCAAATACGCCGTATGTATTCTGACCACTTTATCCAGATTGGACAGAGTTCTGCTAGATCAGTGGTTCTCAACCTTGGCTGCACATTAGAATCACCTGGGAATCTTTTTAAAATCCTGATTTCTGGGCCTCATCCTCTGGAAATTCTGTTTCTTTGTTATGGGGGGGGGGGGGGGCACAACATTAGTAACAAAGAAACAGAATTTCCGGAGGATGAGGCCCAGAAATCAGGATTTTAAAAAGATTCCCAGGTGATTCTAATGTGCAGCCAAGGTTGAGAACCACTGTGCTAGATGATGTTTCCTGCAGCAGTGACAACGGTGGGAAGACCATTGCAACGCAGACAATAGAATCCAAGGCTCATCTGGCCTTCAGCCTGTAACAAACTACAGGTGTAATAGCTGCGGACGCAGCCCTCACCTGCTAGAAAGAAACTGTCATGGTGGTATTAGAAGCTGTTAGCACAGGTAGAGCTGCAGTATCTCACTCTCAAAACCCAGTGGCATCACAGAATCGGCGTTTTTATATTCACCTGGCCATCGTGGACAGGGCTTCGCGTGACGGAGTGACTGTCCTCCGTACAGTGGCCCAGGCTGGCGGAGCCCCTGCCACCTTCAGTGAGTATCCTCATCGTCTCCCTCACAGCCAGGGGGAAGGGGAACCCAAGTGGTGGAGGGTGTCCAGGTTTATAACCAAACCTCCAAGATGGGGCGTTATCACTTCTGCCCACATTCCATAGGCTGACACTCAGTCCCATGACCGCACGTAGCTGCAGGGGAGGCTGGGAAATGCAGTCTGGCTGTGTGCTGGGCAGGACAGAAAGCTGCACCATGTGACTCAGTTGGTTGGAGCATGCATCATCCTGTGCACTAAAAGGATGCCTGTTCGATTCCTGGTCAGGGCACATACCCAGGTTGCAAGTTCAATCCCCAGTCGGGATGTGTATGGGAGGCAACTGATCTATCTATCTCTTTCTCCTTGCCCCCCACTTCCCCTCTCTCTAAAATCAGTAAAATATATCCTTGGGTGAGGATTACAAAAAAGAAAAGGAGAATAGCAAGCTGGTGGACAATTAGGAGTCTGAAGCTGAGGGATCTCCAACGGCCCATCAGAGATTCTTGTACATGTTCTGCTCCTGCTTCTGCTGCACTTGCTTAAGTCAGTCAGCACCTGGGGTTCCTGAGGTGTCTTTACTTATGTGGCTGGGTTTCTGAGGCTGATGGCTGCCTTTGTCATTGTATGCATAATAGCTGCCCACATAACCACTCTGTTATATCAATTAAGGGGCTCTTAGTGTACAGGAAAAAAAAGGGGGAAGGAATGACCTTTGAGGAGGTCCAAATTTCTAGTTATCCCAAATCTTATAGTATTCTAACATGCCGACTATGAAATTATGACTAACAGGAATTTACTAGCTAATAAACTTGATATATTACCATGAGCTAATTTCATAGGAACAATGGTGGTTTTTCCAAGAGCTGAAGAAGTCTGCCATAATTACCTAATGCACTATATTCCTTACCTAGATTTACCAATATAATCGTGCAGTATAATTGCTACCTAATCAGAGTTAGGTGCCCACATCATTGATTGCCTTGTTTTGCCTCCTTAGGGTTTGAATGCAGTCTTTGACATCTTGGTGATAGGCAAATTAAATGTTCTGGAAATTGTCCAGAAGGTACTACACAAGGACAAGTCATTAGAGGTATGTACTTTTTGTCTCCAACCCTGACATGGAAAATGTCAAGTACCAGCTGATTTAAAATGCCATTTTCAAAGTTCTTCCTGTGAGTCTGAATTCTAAAATAGCCAGCCTTTTAAAGCACAGTGTCAGCACAGTTCAGGTAGAATTGCTGCACAATTGTACCTGGCTGGGCCACACTTCTGTTTGAAAATCTGTGACATCAGGGGCTTTGCGGTGTCTTTGCAGTACATTGGCGTGCTCAGAAATGGGGGTCTCCTCTTCAGAATGACCCTCCTGGCCGTGGGGGGAGCCGGGGTGCTCTACGTGCGCTGGAAAATCATGGGCACCGGCCCGCCACCCTTCACCGAGGTGGACAACCCCGCGTCCTTTGCCGACAGCGTGGTGGTCAGGGTGAGTTCTGAGTGTGTCCACCCAGTTCCCCGGTCCTTCACCCCTCCTCCGCCTCTCACTCCCCGCACACCCACAAAATCCCTAATAAATGGAACCCCTTCGTGTTTGTTTGCCGTCACGAAGGACATTCCAGGATGAAACCAGGCTTTGATCAGGGTACTGAGCAGGTGGAAGCCCCCTGTATTTCCACTCTAATCAAAATTGAGTGGTATCTTCTAACGTCAGGTTTCTCGCCGGCCTCGTTAGTGTCTCCTAACCCCGAGACTTTTGTTATAAAGGAAATTGGCATGGCGGGGTTAAGATGAAATACAGCAATATCAGTGGTATCTTTAAAAGTCCAATGGCGTCAAGACTCTCTTTATTGCACAGGTTGGCTTTATCTGAAGGCAAGGGTGTCAGTGCTGAGCAGTGCATTCATAGAGACCGGAATCAAGAGAAACAGCATAGAATCCTGTGCTTACGTTGTTAGGCACATAGGTGACCCCTGGGCCTCAGATTTCCTGGGTCACAGACTTCGGGCCTCACTACATAAATGGGGCACTGATCAGAAATGGAAGAACTGTATAGCAGAGTCTGGCAGCTACGCTGCCTTTTTCTCTCAAAATCTCAATGCATTTAATACATTGCAAATTAGTGCCCTCACCCATTGTCGAAAGTGGCAGCATTTTATTTTCTATAACTGCTCTCCTGGAAGAGAAGCCTATGAATGCCTCAGAAGTGAAGTTAGGGTACATAGGTATATTTTCAAGTTTAGTATTAAGTAAATGTTTGTTTTCCTTTTGACTGACAGGCCATAAACTATAATTACTACTATTCCTTGAATGCCTGGCTGCTGCTGTGCCCCTGGTGGCTGTGTTTTGATTGGTCAATGGGCTGCATCCCCCTCATTAAGTCCGCCGGGGACTGGAGGGTAATTGCACTGGCAGCACTCTGGTTCTGCCTAATTGGCCTGATATGCCAAGCCCTGTGCTCTGCAGACAGTCACAGGAGAAGGTAAGAGACAGCGCCGAGTTTTAACTTCCACCCTGGGTTAAGTCAGAAGCATTTTGCTAAATCCGTCACCGATCATTTTAACGATTTTGTGGAAGTCATGTCTGAGGACATTTATTTCCAATGCATATTTATGACGAGGAGGAGTTCACCCATTCGGAATCCATCGCTGGCTTCAACTGGTGGCGAGTGAACTCGGAGGAGGGGGTATGGATGACTGCCTGATCTCCCCCTCCTCCCCTCCCCCAGAAGTACGTAGCATTTTGAGACCCTTTTCTCGGTAGGTGGTAAAGAGTAATTTATGGTCAGAACAGAGAGTGTAATTGATGTGTGTTGTGCCCATTATTTCACAGTTCTCCTTCAGAAAACCCTGGTGGATGCCATAGTGATTCTTTCTGTTGTTGTTTGGTACAAAATAAACTGCTGCCCCAGAGACTATTCCTTTCTCACACAAAAAAAGGGTGGGGAGGGGAAGGTTATTGGGAATAAAATTGGAGGAAAAACAAATGTGTTTCGTGAGAAGGAAAACTATTTAAAATGATTTCCTTTACATATAAGTATGTATGGATTTAGATTAGTAATTTCTCAAGATAAATTAAGGTTCAAGTGTACCTGTGTTTTAAATTGGTTCGTAATTCTAAAGGTCGACAAACTTTTGCCCCAGTTCACTTGTACATGTGCAATTAGATTTTATTTCTAACATACTGTAGGCACAGGGTCCAGGAAGGAGCCAGCAAATTTGACCTAGTTTCCCAATTCATCCTCTTGTATCATATGGGACATTAGAAATGATAGCCTAGACCCAGCCTTCTTCTACTTGACTGAAATTTGTGGAGTTGTAACCCCCCCAAAATGGTATTAGTTTATTTCAGATTTTATAAAGTCTAAACTAATTAATTAGTGTTATACCTGTTAAGTTTGTAGGGGGATTTTTGTTCCTATATAAACTACATTAGACTAATTGGGGCCAGTTGTTTATGTATGTTTATATATAGTTTATATAGGAACTACATGGTTTGAGGTGTGTTAGGAGTAGATGAATGAATAAGGCCTCACAAATATTGTCATTCTAACCTCATTGTTATAAATCGTGTGACTTGTAAGTCTTATCCTTGTGCTTGATGCTAAGTGCCTCTGTAAGATTTTTACATCTTTTAATATTGCCAGGCTAAGCCCTCTCTACTGATGACAGCGTTTTGCTGCTGCAAATGCCTTTTTCTCAATGGATGGCCTGAAAAAACAGCCTTTACTATTTTAATGTTGAGTAGCACATTTTCTTGAGATAGCTACAAATAGCCATCTCCGTCTCTCTCACTTTCCAGGATCCTCACGCTGGGCCTGGGATTCCTCGTTATCCCGTTTCTCCCCGCAAGTAACCTGTTCTTCCGCGTGGGCTTTGTGGTGGCCGAGAGAGTCCTCTACCTGCCCAGTGCTGGGTACTGCATGCTGCTGACGCTCGGCTGCGGAGCTCTCGGTAAACATACACAGAGAAAGGTACTTACTGGCCAGGAGGGTGCCTTTCGTAACCAGACGGTTGGATGGTTGGACGGACTTTCCTCATGACATTTACCATGTCTCTCTATTCTTAAGAAACTAATCGCTGCTCTCGTACTGGGAATTCTATTCATAAACACGCTGAGGTGCATAATTCGCAGCGGCGAGTGGCGGAGTGAAGAACAGCTCTTTAGAAGTGCCCTGTCTGTGTGCCCTCTCAATGCTAAGGTGTGTTGGCTGCCCTGTGTCTTCAGAAAGACGTTACTAGGAAATGTTTTCAATTCAACAACTGAATAAGAAGAATGTGTGCCTTCGTACAGAATCTAGCATAATTCTGGGTTTCTCTTTCTTTCTTTTTTTTTTTTTTTTTTTGTCCTTTTAATAAAATGTATTAAAATTCTCCTGAGCCACAATAATTCAAAAGAAGTTATTAAAACCAAGCAATGTCTGCCCTGGCCAGTATGACTTGGTTGGGCTTCATCCCGTGCACCGAAAGGTTGCTGGTTTGATTCCCAGTCAGGGCACATGCCTAGGAGTCTTGCAGGTTCGATCTCCAGTAGGGGGAATGCATGACACAGTCGATAGATGTTTTGATCTCACATCGATGTTTTTTTCTCTCTCCCTTTTCCCTTCCTCTCTCTCTAAAAAAAATCAATAAAAATATATTAAAAAAGACAGTGTCAGTGAAGCAAGGGATTACTTAAAGGAAGTTTTACTCATCTTCCAGTTGGTCACATCTCCCTTTGAAGTGGTGGCAGGGTAGCTAACACCACACATCCAGTCTGCGCTGGAGGAGGCCCACAGTTGAAACATGCAGAGCACACTTTTCAGAATACATGCTCTGGCCACAGCATCCACCACCCTCCAAGCCATCATTTGAAGATGATAGTACCTACAAAGGGACAGTAATTTGATTCAGGGAGTTTAAGTGATGCTATATGGTAGCACTAGTACACATTTGCGTCACCTGCTCGTGACTCCTTCCTTTTGTCAGGTTGGGGAAAATAAAGGTGTAGACTTTAAAACTTGCAGTGTTTTTGTAGGAGCATCTGGAAGGAATTTTTTCACTTGGATTCTTCATGAATCCAAGCTCTCTGCTTCACCGGATCTGCCTTCTTGGATGAAATTTTGAACTTTTAGTGCCCTTAGAAAAGGGGGCCGATAATGCCTGTCTCCTGGGTTTGTGGTGAGGCCTTCCTGGAACCTGGCATCTGATGTGGCCTCACAGGGTAGTGAGAACCGAGCAGGTGCTCAAGAAATGCTGGCTTTCGTAGGCTCATCTGAGTTTTGGTCGTCACATTCACTGGCAAGAAGGGAATGTTACTTGCTCAAAGTGGGATGCCAAGGGGTTCGGTTAGATTCCTAACCTAATCCATGAGAAGGATTTCTGCTCATGGAGATCATTATTATTACTAAATACGGGTTCGTTCTGCCTGGGGTCATCAGACTTGGATGCTCCAAATGCATCCTCAGGAGGTAGAAACAGAGCTCTCTGCAGCTCTCTTGTTTTTACATTCTCTAAGAAAAAGCGGTGATTTCAGGTAAAATTATATGAGCAAGTCTAATGAAAAGTTGACATCGTGACCTCGAAGCGAAGAATAGTATAAAAGATACTGACTCCTTGTTTGTCTTAATCTTGGATTATAAAAACCTTGTTCATGTTTTATAGTTAAGAGACTTAGGTAGAAAAGTGAATTACTTCAAACTTAGCGTTAATTTGATTTGTTGGCCTCCCCATTACTAAAAACAAATTGCCTGTGATTTAATTTTGTGCATGTTAATAGATTTGCTTTATTTTTACTTTGGCATTTGAATAGCAGAAGTTATGCCTTCTATTTATACACTAGTAGTTCTTCCCTATAAGGAACTCAAATCTTTTTGTAGTGGTTCTATCATTAATCTCCATTATATTCCCTCTAAGGTTTTTAGAGAGAGGATATTATTATTATTATTATTATTATTATTATTATTATTATTATTATTATTACAAATGGTGGAAAGTGAGGCATAGGAAAAGGAAACTGGTGTTATCTAGCTTCATGATCTGGGTGGCTAGTTGAAGACCTGATATGATACAGTGCCCGCATTACTCTAGTAAGTGGGAGAGGGGAGAGATGGGACATGTGTGATTTAGAGCCTATCTATCTGTCCTAGTGACATGACTTCTTATGTTGTAGGCCAGAAAACACAGGGTGTGCACACATGGGCACACACACAGTTATTATATGTCTTCTTCAAAATAAACCCGCTGCTGATAGTCCTTTCTAAGAAATTTTTTTAGTAATGCCATTCAGTCCGAGCCAAAGAGAGATTATATTTTACTTGCCACTATAACTTGAAACGTTATAAAATTGTCTTTACTTCGTTTAGGAAAAAAAAAAAAAAAAAAGCTAGGTTGATTTCAGGGTAGAGGAGATCCCATTAGGAAGACACTGGTTGCATTCAACTCCATTACAGGAGATACAGTTTTTGCACTGGTATCCACTTTATGTTCATTGCATATTAAGCCAGCAGTTGACACCTGGCTCTAGATTAGACCCAGATTTACAAACAGGCTCATCTTTCTCAAAAGATTGCAATATGTAGGCAGGTAATACCAGTGCCTGGTCTGCATTTGAGTGACCCACAGTGCCTTGCATATAGTACGCACTCAGTATTAGTGACTGAATTGAGCCAAATGGAAATTAAATTCCTTGAGCTTACTATGGTGAAATGCCAAGTATCTAATTATGCTGACAGTCATTTTTAGTTTTTAAGGCTTTAAAGTGTGTGTGTCACTTTGTATCAACTCTGGGATACAATTCTAAACTCTTTTCATAATGAAAGGATCACATACCACAATGAGGGATTTCCTCAAGGAGTGACCCAGGATAGATTATAGGACTTTTAGGTCCTTAAAAGATTTTAAATTTAACATCAACCTTTGGCAGAATGTTGGACACGAACTGGTTTTGTTGCTGGTGTTAAAACTGCCTTCCGTTACTGTGGCCTTCACCTCCTTTAAATTTACGTGTCCTTGGGTTGCAGGTAGCTTTATCTGCGGCTTCTGTGCTGGTTCATTGCCTCAGCACAGGAATCAAAGGCTGGAGGGAAAGCTCAAGACTAAATAGGATTTTTCAATCTCTTACCTTCCCTGGAAACAGAAATCACTCATTTTTTAGACACTCTTTTAAGTAAACGGTGTCGGGGTTATTTTGTTTTATCTTTTTATAGTGTGTTATCTAGGCAGCTGTTTTCTGTTCCAATACTTCCCTTCACATAACCCAGAGGCTGAGGCTGGCCTCTGGGCGAACCTGTGTGCCAGTTCTTCCTCCTGGACGGCTTGACTTACAGAGCGATGTCAGGTTTTTAAGTGGTGACACTGAAATGACTGCAGCCCGAATGCCCAGAGCGCCCCTCGTCCTCCCTCATCTTCCCCCGTCTGGCCTTGCAGGTGTCTAGCAGAGGGTGTCTGGCAGAACACTGTTTATGCTGCAGAGGGCACTTGAACTCTTTGTTTGAGCTTTTTACTGAGAAAACAGAATCTCCCCGTAACAAAGGAAAGCAGCGGGAGCTCGGGCGGAAGAGGAGGGAGTGTGCCTCAGAGCCCTCTTTGTATTCTGAGGACCACAGCCGCCTCCCTCCCAGGTTGGAGTCTCCGAATGTGGTTCTTTTGTGTGTGGGACCAGAGGTGGATAACACATCTTGGCTGGGGTTGGGAGAGGCACACAATCAAACCATTTAGAGCATACTTTTCAACAACCGACCATGGCATTAACTGGCCTCCAAGCTATGATTTGAGGATGATAATACCTACGGATGGGCAGTAGTTTGGACCAGGAAGTTTAAATTATGCAGTGTGCTGTGCAGTAGTGCATATTTCTATCACCCGTGGTATCCTTGCTTGTGATTTCTCTTGTTAGATGAGGTAAAAAGAGATGAATGGACTTTAATATTGACAGTTAAAAAACAAATCTCTGTTACATATGTGCTTAAAGACGGTGTACCGCTCCCCGCCCTTTCAGAAATAATCAGTAGTTATGAAAACATGCTCTAACTGTAGGTTAGGATTGCTGAGGCAGGATGTGCTCCTATTTTCAGAAGGGTTTAGAAGTATTTGAATGTGAGCTACTTGAATGTGTCTAAACCATTATTGTATTTCATGGTATATCAGTCTGCCATAACAAAATACCACAGATTAAGTGGCTTAAACAACAGAAATTTATTTTTTCTCATTCTCTGGGAGTTGCAAGTCCCAAGATCAAGGTATCAGCAGGTTGATTTCTCCTGAGGCCTCTCTCTTGAGCTTGCAGACAGCCACCTCCTGGCTGTGCCCTCCCAGGGCCTGTCCTCTGTGTGCACTCACCACTGGTGTCTCTCTGTGTATCCAAGTTTTCCCTTCTTGTAAGGACACCAGTCAGGTTGGGTAAGGCCCACCTGCAGAACCTCATTTTAACTCAGTGACTTTTTTAAAAGACCCAATCTCCAAATACAATCACATGGGGTTTAGGGCTTCAACATAGGACTTTGGAGGGAGAAGTGGGACACAATTCAGCCCTTAACACACACAAATAAACATTATTTTACTTTAAGGAAAGTAATAGATGGTATGAATGAGTGGGTCTAGAAATGGCTCATCTTTATCGAGCACCCTAATAAATGAGTGTGATAGAGTAAGAACAAACACAGGCTTTGGATCCTGGATTCAAATCCAGCCCAGAACCTCGACGCAGTCCCTCAACTCGGAAGGGAGGGTGATAGCAGCTGCCTGTCCGGGATGCTGTGAAGAGGAGAGACTATATGTGTGCGATGCCAACCCCTGCCCCTGCCTCACGGCCTCCTTCAGCACCTGCCCCCTGCTGGTGTTTCTGTTACTGTTATTAGTCATACTTAGTACCCCTGATGGAATAAATTCCTTTAGATAGCATCATCTCCTCTGAGATTTCTGTTGGCCCTCAGTGTTGTAAGCCTCCAAAAGGAGCTTTTGATGATCAATAAGCACTTTTGATAATTGTCCTCATGACTCTGTGCACTTCTGCTGCCTCGGTCTGAGTTCGGGTTTCCACTCCTTTCTTTGTAATGGATTCTGAGCAAATGAATTGCTCTTAAGAAAATGCCGCAAGTTAGCCACCCTGGTGCCCTCACATTGAGATGCCTCAGAATTTCCGGTAGTTTTGCAGCTGTGAGTCCTGTTTCTTCTAGTCCACTTTACAACCAAATCACCAAAAATTCTCTTTTATAAAAAAATTTGAGGTTAAATTCTTGTAACATAAAATCAACCATTTTAGTTCTTCAGAAATTAAAAATAGAAATTACCATATGATCCAGCAAGTCCACTTCTGGGGAAATATGTAAAGATGGCTAGATAGATGTACAGGGTTGGTCAAAAGTAGGTTCATATGGAAAATAATACAATAACTAATAATAATACAAGAATAAACTGTGTTTCATGCACTCACAACTGCAAACCTACTTTTGCCTCATCATATATATACACACATAGTATGTGTATACATACAGCATATACATATATTCATATACATATATGTATTATATACATACTAGAGGCCTGATGCATGAAATTCATGCAAGGGGCTGGGCACTCTCAGCCCCGGCTGCCTCGCAGCCCCGCCCACTGGTCATTCCAGAAGATTGTTCCACTGTCCAATCTAATTAGCATATTAGCTCTTTATTATATAGGATAGCATATCCAAAAATATTGAGAGCAGGACCTCATAGCATTAGTTAACAATAGCTAAAAGATGCAAAGCAACCTAAGTGTCCACCAACAGATGAATGTGGTGTATATATACAATGGTGGTGTATATATACAATGGAATGTTTATTCAGCCTTAAAAAGGAAGGGCATTCTGACAGATGCTACAACATAGGTGGACCTTGAGGACATTCTGCTCAGTGAAATAAGCCAGTCACAAGAAGACAAATACTATGTGATACCACTTATATGAGGTACTGAGAGAAGTCAAATTCATAAAAACAGGAAGTAGAATGTTGGTCGTACTAATGGGGCATGGGTATGTGAGAGAGGAGTGGGAGTCGAGGGTTTGTTTAGCAGTAAAACCAGCCCAGCTTCCTAATTTTTCAGTTTTCTCCAGTGAGTTCTTTAGTTAAATATCGTTATGTAGTGGTATCATCTGCTTGTTATCTCTCTTTCTTCTACTCTTTTCTTACAAGATGGGTCAAGCCCCTGGCCAAGCCTGTAGGGTTTTAGCTAAAGTTCCGGTGTGGGGAGGTGGGGGGGTTGTTTTAGTTTTAAATACCATTACCTTTTGTTTTCATTTAGAAGATATGATAGTTATCCCTATTCTGAAGAAAGAAGTCTATCAGCTAATGACCAAGTTTTTATCTCTATTTTCAGGTTCACTACAATGTTGGCAAAAACCTGGCTGATAATGGCAATCAAACAGCTGCCATCAGATATTATAGGGAAGCTGTGAGGTACTGCAGGCATCCTGTCTCATTTATATATATATGTACTAGAGGCATGGTGCACGAAATTCGTGCACCAGGGGAAGGGGGGGGATCCCTCAGCCCAGTCTGCACCCTCTCACAATCTGGGACCCCTTTGGGGATGTCCGACTGCTGGTTTAGGCCCAATCCCACAGGGGCAGTTGGACATCCCTCTCGCAATCTGGGACCACTGGCTCCTAATTGCTCACCTGCCTGACTGCCTGATCACCCTAACCACTCACCTACCTGACTGCCTGATCACCCCTAACCACTCACCTGCCTGCCTGATTGCCCCTAACCGCTTGCCTGCCTGCCTGATCACCCCTAACCATTCTGCCTGCCTGCCTGATCGCCCCTAACTGCTCGCCTGCCTGTCTCATCGCCCCTAACCACCTCTGACTGCCTACCTGATCACCCCTAACTGCCTCTGCCTCGGCCCCCGCTGCAGCAGCTTCATATGTCTGGTCTAATTAGTATATTACGCTTTAATTATTATAGATTGTTTTAACTTTTTAGAGTTAAAACTCTGTCCCCTTGCCCTAGCCAGTTTTGCTCAGTGGATAGAGTGTCAGCCTGTGGACTGATGGGTCCCAGGTTCGATTCTAGCCAAGGACACATGCCCGGGTTGCGGGCTCGATCCCCAGTGAGGGCTGTGCAGGAGGCAGCCAATCAATGATTCTCTCTCATCATTGATGTTTTTCTCTCTCTTCCTCTAAAATCAATACAAATGTATTAAATTTTTGAAAAAACACCTGTCCCCTTAAAGACACGAACTTTAAGATACCCTTGCCAATTCCTGAGAGCTTAGTGAAGACAACTGAACATTAACAGATGGCTTGTTTTCTCTCTCCACTTTCAGATTAAATCCCAAGTATGTTCATGCCATGAATAATCTTGGAAATATTTTAAAGGAAAGGAACGAGCTACAGGAAGCGGAGGAGCTGCTGTCTTTGGCTGTACAAATACAGTAAGCATTGTTCTTAGAATTCTGCTAGTGGCAAAGAAATGAGCTCCCGCCTTTTGGGGCCTGAGCCTTTCTTTTCCTTGTTTTCCTTTTCAAACTGCCCTTCCAGGCCAGACTTTGCTGCGGCGTGGATGAACTTAGGCATCGTGCAGAACAGCCTGAAACGGTTCGAAGCTGCCGAGCACAGCTATCGGACAGCAATCAGACACAGAAGAAAGTACCCCGACTGTTACTACAACCTCGGGCGTTTGGTAAGTGGCCTGTGACTGCAGGAGAAAAGTTTGTTTTTTTCTTTATTTGTAATAAAATGAGGATACTAATATCCCCCTACTAACATTCTCCATAAAGTTCTTTCACTTAGTTTTATCTCATTTGAAGGCAGCTATTTGATTTTCTTATATTTAACTTCTAAAGCTCTAATTAGAGAACAATCCAACTTGGATTAGCCAAGCTTAAGAGAACACAGAGGCAATAGGTCAAACCAAAGAATAAATTAGAATTTTTAAAGTCCCTTGTGCCTTACACTCCTAGGGATAAGGTAACTTCCTGATAAACATTAGTTTCTCTGTTTTGAAATCACAAATACTGAGATTTAAAAAAACATGAACCTATAATGTGATTTCTTTGATTTTTTATTTTTATTTAATTTATTGGGGTGATATTGATTAATAAAATTATTTGAGTTTCAGGTGTACAATTCTATGATACATCATCTATCTATTATATTGTGTGTTCACCACCCCAAATCAAGTCTCCTTCCATCCCATTTATGCCCCCCTTACCCTCTTATACCTACTCCACAGCCCCCTCACCCCCCTCACCCTCTGGTAATCACCATATTGTTGTCTGTGTCTGTGGGATTTTTTTTCTTTACTTAATCCCTTCACCTTTTTCACCAAGCCCCCTAACCCCCTTCCCCTCTGACAGCTATCAGTCTGTTCTCAGTATCTATGAATCTGTTTCTATTTTGTTAGTTTATTTTGTTCCTTGGATTCCACATATAAGTGAAATCATGATATTTGTCTTTCTTGGACTGGCTTATTTCACTTAGCGTAATGCTCTCCAAGTCCATCCATGCTGCCACAAAAGGTAAGAGTTCCTTCTTTTTTTTTTTTATGGCAGAGTAGTATACCATTGTGTACATGTGCCACAGCATTTTTATCCATTTATTTACAAGGGCACTTACACTGCTTCCAAATCTTGGCTATTGTAAATAATGTTGCAATGAACCCTTATCCTATCTAATAGACAAACATGGTAATTAACCGTACTTCTGACACGCTTCCCACTGGCTAATCAGGGCAATATGCAAATTAACTGCCAACAAAGATGGCGGCTGGCAGCCAGGCAGCTGAAGCGAACAGGAGGCTTTCTTGCTCCAGTGATGGAGGAAGCCAAGGTTCCCCGCCTGCGGCCGCCCAGCTCTGAGTTGCACTCTAAGCAACTATGTTGCAATTATAGAAGCTAAACAAACCCCAGAAACCTGCTTTCAGACAGCTGGACCTCAGAGCTGGAGCTGCAACAGTGTTTCAATTATAGAAGCCAAACAAACCCAGATACCTGCTTTCAGCAACCGAGGTCTCAGAGCTGGAGCTGAGCCTCAGAGCTAAAGCCAGCTCTCAGTTCCAGTGACAGCCATAGAAGGTAAATAAATCCCAGAATAAAAAATAAAAAGAAAAAAAGGAGAGGTTGGGAACTTCAGTCACCTGCCAGCCTGAAAACGGCCCTCAGCCCCTCACCCAGACTGGCCAGGCACCCGTGGGGACCCCCACCCTGAAGGGGATGTGACCAGCTGCAAACAGCCATTATCCCCTCATCCAGGCTGGCCAGGCACCCAAGCGGGACCCCCACCCTGATCCGGGACACCCTTCAGGGCAAACCAGCCAGCCCCACCCGTGCACCAGGCCTCTATCCTATATAGTAAAAGGGTAATGTGCAAACTGACCCTAACAGCAGAAAGACTGGGAATGACTGGTCACTATGACACACACTGACCACCAGGGGGTAGACGCTCAATGCAAGAGCTGCCCTCTGGTGGTCAGGGCGCTCTCACATGGGAGGAGCTCTGCTCAGCCACAAGCAAGGCTGATGGCTGCCAGTACAGCGGTGGTGGTGGAGGGAGCCTCTCCCGCCTCCTCAGCAGCACTAAGGATGTCCGACTGCAGCTTAGGCCTGCTCCCCGCTGGCAAGTAGACATCCTCCGAGGGCTGCCAGGCTGCCAGAGGGATGTCTGATTGCCATCTTAGGCCCAATCCCCTGGGGAGCGGGCCTAAGCCAGCAGGTGGTCATCCCCTGAGGGGTCCCAGACTGCAAGTGGGCACAGGCCGGGCTGAGGGACCCCTCTTCTTCCCACCGCCCCCGAGTGCACAAATTTTTGTGCACCGGGCCTCTAGTCTATATATGTAAAAGCCTAAGCAACTGGCCGACTGGCTGATAGCTATGACACACACTGACCACCAGGGGGCAGATACTCAACGCAGAAGCTGCTGAGCAACAGCAACTTTGCAGAGTGTCCTCTCGCACTTTGGAACCCCTTGGGGGATGCCAGACTGCCAGTTTCGGCCTGATCCCCACAGGCCAGGCCAAGGGACCCCCACCTGCTGAAGGGACCCTGGTCACTCTGCAGACACCCTTCAAGCCCCGGCGCCACCTCAGGCTGGCTGGGTTGGATCCGTGGGAGGTTGGCTCCAGGACATGTCCGGCCAGTCTCGCCCAGTCCCACCAGACACCTTCTAATTAATTTACTTTCACTGTGCACAATTCCGTGCACCGGGCCTCTAGTTTTCATATATTCTTTCTAATTAGTGTTTCTGGTTTCTTTGGATATATTCCCAGAAGTGGAATTGCTGGGTCTTGAGGCAGTTTCATTTTTAAATTTTTGAGGAAACTCCATACTGCTTTCCACAGGGGCTGCACCAACAGTACATGAGGGTCCTCTTTTCTCCCCATCTTTGCCAATACTGGTTGTTTGTTGATTTATTGATGATAGCCATTCTTGATAGGTGTGAGGTGATATCTCACTGTGGTTTTAATTTGCATTTCTCTGATGAGTAATGATGTTGAGCATCTTTTCATATGTCTGTTGTTCTCTCTGGGGAAAGGGGCTGAAAAACAGTAAAACTTCAGCATAATGATGTTAGTAGAGACCAAAAAAATCAATCACATACAAAGCAGGTGGACCCTTGCACAGTTAATTAAGTGAGAATAAGGGCTAGCTGAGGGACTGGCACAAATTGGGTGTTATCTAAATCCTTGCTTTTATGGTTACTGCAGGGGTTACTGTCTCTGTGTACTGTGTCTTTTAAACTAGTACTTGCATGACATCATACTTGATTCCATATGAATTCCTTTTTCATTTTTTGGGGGAGGGGGGCTCTTTTTTAATTTTATTTTATGCAGATGATCTAAACCTACAGCCTTCTAGGTTATGCTTTAAAGCCTTAATACTGAAATAGTCTTAGTCCTTACCCCTAGTAGCTGCCTGTCACTGTAATTCCTTGGGTTTGGAAAATACAGGATTTATGCTAAATTTGCCTTCTGTAAGAATTACATCCCAAGAAAGGAAGTTGGAATATAAAACATAGGTTTTTATCATGTGCTCCAGTGCTTGGACTTCATTCCCACATTCGTGTAGAACCGTGGTCGGCAAACCGCAGCTCACGAGCCACATGCGGCTCTTTGGCCCCTTGAGTGTGGCTCGTCCACAAAATACCACATGCGAGCATGCACGTACAGTGTGATTGAAACTTTGTGGCCCATGCGTAGAAGTCGGTATTTTGTGGAAGAGCCGGTATTTGGTGGAAAAGCCACACTCAAGAAGCCAAAGAGCCACATGTGGCTCACGAGCCGCGGTTTGCCGACCACTGGTGTAGAAGATCATGTATACGATTAAATAGGCTGAGACCTTGTCCTGGCTGGTGTGGTTCAGTTGGTTGGAGCATCGTCCCATACACCAGGAGGTCACAGGTTTGATTCCAGTTGAGAGCACATACCTAAGTTATGGGTTAGATCCCCATTCAGGGCATGTGCACGAGGCAACCAATCAATGTATCTCTCTCACATTAATGTTTCCCTCTCGCTCTCTCTCCCTTCCTCCCTCTCTGAAAATCAGTGGTAATAAAATAATTTAAATAGACTGAGACCTTCATTGCTCTCTGAGTATATTGCTTACTAATTATGCTACATGAAATGATCTTCCTCTTCCTTCTGCCAGCTGTTCCTGCTTATTTAAAGGTTTTGCTCTCCATGTTTAATTATCCAGCCTTTGCCTGCTTGACAGCTTAAAAGCATTAAGAGCTTAATCTTTAACAGCTCAACCAGCACATTTATATACTGGCAAATAAAATGAACAAAATAACTTTAAAGTTTCTTTTTAAAAAATCCTCCTTAAAAGCAAAAAAAAATGGAATGGGGCTATATCAAACTAAAAAGCTTCTGCACAGCAAAAGAAACTGACAACAAAACAAAGAGACAGCCAACCAGATGGGAGATGATATTTGCAAGCAGTAGCTCCGACCAAGGTTTAATCTCCATAAAGAACTCATAAAACTCAACACCAAGTAACAAACAACCCAATCAAAAAGTGGGAAGAGGACCTGGAAATACACCTTTTCCAAGGAGACACACAAATAGCCAATAGATATATGAAAAGATGTTCAACCTCAATGGCAATTAGGGAAGTGCAAATCAAAACTACAATGATATACCACCTCACACCCGTTAGAGCAGCCATTATCAACAAGACAAGCAATTACAAGCATTGGAGAGGTTGTGGGAAAAAAGGAACCTTCATTCACTGCTGGTGGGAATGTAGATTGGTACAACCACTATGGAAAGCAGTCTGGCGATTCCTCAAAAAATTAAGAATAGAGCTACCATACAACCCAGTAATCCCTTTGCTGGGATTACTCAAAAAGCTCAAAATCATGTACTCACAAAGCTATATATACCCCTGTGTTCATTGCAACATTATTCATGGTGGCCAAGACGTGGAAACAACCAAAGTGTCCTGTAATAGAGGACTGGATAAAGAAGAATTGGTAAATATATATACAGTGGAATACTACTCAGCCATAAGAAAGGATGAAGTAGCACCATTTGTAACAACATGGATGGACCTTGAGACCATTATGCTAAGTGACATAAGTCAGTCAGAAAAAGCTAAGAACTGTATAATTTCACTCATATGTGGGATATAAAACTGAAACTTGTGAACACAAATAGCAGTGTGGTGATTGCCAGAGGGAAGGGGCCGGAGAGAGAAGGGAATCCTAATGTATGATGAGAGGAGAAGATTTGACTTTGGGTAGCGGGCATATGGTGCAATATACAGATCTTGTAACATAGAATCCCACACCTGAAACCTATATGATCATGTTGACCAATGTCACCCCAATAAATTGAAATAGATATTTTAAAAATCCTTTTCAGTCACTGTTTAGTAACAGGAGACAGAAATGTATTTTGATTCTGGATCCAGATAAGAAAAGAATTTGGCAAGAGCTGGATTATTTTGGACATATTACTGATAATGGAGACTATAACAATTGTGACTGAAGATATTTACTAGAGACAAGTCATTATGCAGGGACTAATTGTATCACACAGGATCCATTCAGGAAAACAGAAACCATTGCAAGTATTTAAATAGGGAAGATTTAATATAGGGAATCAGTTAGACCAGTGGTCGGCAAACTCATTAGTCAACAGAGCCAAATATCAACAGTACAACGATTGAAATTTCTTTTGAGAGCCAAATTTTTTAATCTTAAACTATATAGGTAGGTACATTGTTATTAACTTAATTAGGGTACTCCTAAGCTGGCCTTTGCTAAAAACGTCCTCAATCTGATTGAGGTATGTTCGCTGAGGTCAACCCCTTCCAACTCTCCCATCCACACTCGTCTTGTATACTTGTTTCATCTATCTCCTTTCCGAAAACCGACTTCTGCACATGGGCCACGAAGTTTCAATCACACTGTGCTTGCGCACCCACACGAGGTATTTTGTGGAAGAGCCACACTCAAGGGGCCAAAGAGCCGCATGTGGCTTGTGAGCCATGACTTGCCGACCACTGAGTTAGACAATTGGTAAAAGGCCAGAAGAACAAAAATGCAAAGGTGATATTAACTCAGAGAGTCAAGGGAAACAAACGGGAGGAAGTGGTGCCACCAGAAGATAAGAGCTCAGAGAAGGGGCCACCATCTCAGGAGCTACCACAGCCTCAAGAGCTGAGGTCATTAAGGCAGAACCACTGCTTCCTGCCTTGGCACTATGGAGAAAGGGACATAAGCACTTCAGAGATGCTGCCAAGAAATAGAAAGGAGTGAGAGTAGAGGGAAAGGGCTACTCCCCTCTTCCAACCAGCTGATGGTCACCTGTGGCTCCTATTGGCAGAATCTTGCCAAGGAGCAAAGGACCCTGGGAAATGTAGTATGGAGAGTATAGAAGGACAGGCATAGATCTAATAGGTATATAACATGTGCATTACATATCCACTTTCTGGATGCATAGTTCTTGCTAAATTACCATTTGTCTCTGCTTTCCTTAAAGCGCTTGTTCACTTTGTATAGAAGCTATAAGAAGGATGAAGGTCAACACAAAATAAAAGTAAATTTCAGTCTGTTGTTATTTAATAAATAGTAATAATCTACACTGATAAAAGAGAAAGATGCAAATTGACCATAACTTCGTGACACTCACCAGCCAATTAGGCATGAGTATGCAAATTAACCCAACAAAGATGGGTTAATTTGCATACACAGGTGCTGAGCGGCCAAGGGCAGGGTGGGACGCAGGTGTTCTGCACCGCCCCTGGCCACTCCAGGCCTCTGGGCAGTGTGGGAAGGCGGAAAGGCAGCTCCAGGCCAGAACGAAGGCAGAAAGGCGGCTCCAGGCTGGAGCGAAGGCGGTGCTGGCAGCCAGGGGAAGGAAGGCCCATTCTTACACTAATCTTCGTGCATCGGGCCTCTAGTAATAGTAATCAATAGCACAATATGTGAGGAATTGTATTGTTGCTTAAATGAAGTTATACTGGTTTTCCTGGGTTTGTTAGAAAGAATGTCACCACAGATTTTGTCTACTCAAATGCATGTCACTTGCTGGAGAGAATTGACCGAGAAATCAATGGGAACATCAAATATAGAGAAACAATTATATGTTGGTATAATTAGTAGTCTAAATTATTTTAAGGTTTTGAACTTTTCATATCATTTCCTTATTTAAGGGATAAGATTCAGAAACTTGAGTTTCCAAGTCTCATGAGAAATTCTGACAACGTCTTTAGCAAATGGGTATTTGTAAATGTTTTCATAATTTATTATATCTTTTTTGCATAATATGCCACCTATTTGCGGTGTGGGTCACAAAGCAAGGCAAAATGTTTCTGTTTTCTAAGGAAAAGACAGACCTGACAGTCAGTAAGAAAATAGCCTTAAACCCTGATAAACTGTAATCATTCCTACTCTTTGCAGAGTTAAAGGAACCATGTTCATTCAGATGAGATGTGCATTTGAACTGAGTTCAAGAGGGCAAGAGGGTCACCTGCTAAAAAAGCCATCACTTTCTCCCTTGGCGCCCTTTTGGTAACTATGCAAATTGAGAGCCAGCCATTTTGCCTTCTGTTACCAATGTTAGACAGCATTGCCTGTCAACAGAAAGCAATAGGTAATCCTCTCCTTTCCAAAGGAGGCCAGCAGGCTTCAAAGGCCCAGGGGTTCTACACCACCACTTACAACTTTCCCAGGGAGTTTATAGGTCTGATCTACTCATAGTTTCTGATGAAGCTTAGATGTAGGCCGGAAGAGGCACACGGTGAATGTGACACATTTAGCTTGTACTCACATTAAATATTTTGTTTACCCTTAACTAACAACTTACAAAAGATGGACTATGTGAAGTCTTCCTAGAAAAGGACTAAGGATTAGGTGTTTAACTTCTCTCTCATCCCTAGCCTGCAATATGATTTGACACCTGGAGTCACTAAGTTATGGGTTCCAGTTAAGATGTTGTAGGCTTGGGAGCTAGACCACCTGGTTCTAACCCGGCCCTACTATTTCTAGATCTATAACTTTGGGTATGTTACTGACTCTGTGCCTCGGTTGCTTCATATGTAAAATGGCGACAGATATCTCCTTCATTGGGATTTTTTTGAGTATTAAATAAATTGATATGGAAAATTAGAGGAACTCAATCAATCCAGGTTAGCTTTTATTTGATTTGGGGTTTGGTTTTAGTTATGTCTTAGAGAGACGAAGAAAAATATTGGAAAGTTTATTTTTCCAACTCATGCTTTATTTTCAGTATGCAGATCTGAATCGTCATGTGGATGCGTTGAACGCATGGAGAAATGCCACTGTACTGAAGCCAGAGCACAGCCTGGCTTGGAACAACATGATCATACTTCTTGATAACACAGGTACAGAAAGGTGAATTACATAAATCAGGGGAGTCGTTTCAGGAGGCAGGTACCACTGAGTAATTAGGAAATGTAGATTATTGGGGAGGGTTTTGCTAGTGTGTGCTAGAGTTGTTATTTTTAAAAATTATGATGGGATTTAATATTTTGCCTTACAAAATGTCTATTCTTCTAGAAAATGGAGCTTCCTTTGATATATTAGAATATAAATGTCTGGGGAAATGATACTTCGCTTAAAATTGGTGTTGAGTCATGAAGGAAAATGTGTGCTAACCTCTCATTTCTCTGAAGCCTGTTCTCTAGCAGCGCCCAGCAGCTAGGATGCTGGAGGTAACCAGAGTGAGCGGGAATGCTCTGGGCCTGTGCAGTGGGCGGTGCTGGTCCATGCTCTACAGCTCATGGGCTCTTCTCAAAGCAGATGCCCTCAAACCTACACTCAGAGATTCTTATTTTAGATATAATGCTAATAACAGCCTTGGTGATCTAGTTCCTTAGCCCTTGGCAGACTTGATCCACTAGGAGACACTCTGCTCCTCTAGTTTTAAAAATTCAAGCATCTCGTAAGAAATGGTAGTTTTCATTTGGCAGAAACTAAAGCCAGTGAGTAGGCCATCTAATCCGTGTGGGTAAGAGATACTCACTTGTTTCTAATGAAGGCATAGAACATGTCCTTCAGTATGACACCTGTTCCGTTATTGAAGTGTACCTGTGATGTTCTTATTCGCAGACTTGTTTTCTCTGATTTGGGTATAATTGGTATCCGGGAGAAAATTAAAATTAGGTTTCATACAAAATTTAATCAAAAGCTGTTTCTGGCCCTAACCAGTTTGGATCAGTGGACAGAGCGTCGGCCTGCGGACTGAAGGGTCCCGGGTTCGATTCCGGTCAAAGGCATGTACCTTGGTTGCGGGCACATCCCCAGTAGGGGGTGTGCAGGAGGCAGCTGATGGATGTTTCTCTCTCATCGATGTTTCTAACTCTATCCCTCTCCCTTCCTCTCTGTAAAAAAATCAATTAAATATATATATTTTTTTTAAAAGCTGTTTCTGTATTATGTCAGAATGGCACTGGGCTGCATTGGCTTTGCAACTGATAGGATCATTTGTGTGTGTGTGTGTGTGTGTATTACACATTTACATTGATTTTCTTAAGTAGTTTATTCATAATCATTGTGTCTAATGTACATAAACCCTGTTAGAGAGAGACCAACATACTAGTACGTGTTTTTCCTTTTTCACTCGCAGGTAATTTAGCCCAAGCTGAAGCAGTTGGAAGAGAGGCGCTGGAATTAATACCTAACGATCACTCTCTGATGTTCTCGTTGGCAAACGTGCTGGGAAAGTCCCAGAAATACAAGGTGTGTAAACTGCAGGCCGTGATTTCTTGCAATTAATGCCAGCATCTGACAGAAACCATAAATGTTACTTCTGCCCAGTTAAATTCGGAATTAGACCAAAACAGGGGTAGCAGTACACCAGTGTGGCTTGGTCAATTTGCTTCCTGGAGAAGTTGCCCAAAAAAAGGATTTGCAGGGTCAAACTCTGTGTTCTTTGTCATCAGAATTCACTACCATTGCTCAAATGTGGGCGGGGAGGAGAAGTCCCCAAGAAGAGGTGCATCCTAGCAGATGCCCCAGCCCTGCCCTGGCGAGAAGCTGTGAGTCAGCCCCTTGCAGTGGGGCTGGAGCTCTGGGTTTAGATGTGGGTTACGTCTTCCACACTAAAGGAATAACAGCCCATGGAGCATGCAGGACTAGTTCTTGATGCTTCCAATTGTTTCCTCATCGAGAGTTAAGTTGTAGGTAATCTGCAAGGCCCTAGAAATTCCTGACCAATGGAAAAACCCAAGATATTTTATCCGGGCTCTGTCTAACTGGGTTGGCCAGGAGTAGACTGTGAATCCGAAAAGGTGTGTTGAAGAGGACTCAGTGTTGCTAATACTGGTGATCTCAAGCTTTAATTCTACAAGAACCACCAAGGGAAAGTGTTACAATGCAGATGTCCACCGTCCCCTCCACGAGAAAGACTTTGTCGGTTGCGTAAGGTCAGGGGATATGCATTCTTAACCGACATCCTCAGTATCTGACACAGATGTTATAGAACACACTTTTAGAAGCAGTGCTTTATTCCATTCATGAGGGAAAATTTTTCTTTTAAAATTGTGGGCCACATCTGATTCTAATCGCACTAGGCATAAAGGTAGTGATTAATTCATACTTGTCCTGTGATTTACTTCTCCTGTTCTGCTCATTAGGTATCATTGCCAGTATAATTTCCTATAACAATAGTAACGTATTTCTTGCATTTCTCTCATTTTTGAATGTCAGGTGGTTTAATAGCTTCAGTATACATTTTAGCATGTCTAGATTTTACTCCAGAGATGACTTTTTGAAAGGTTAAGTTTTATTTTTTACGGATCTACTTGTGTAGGGGTGGGGGTGCAGAAAGGAGGTGAGGTGTGTGGGTTTCCCGTCTAACGACCTTTCCAGCCATCCAGTTAGCCTGGGGCATGTTGGGGTGTCCAGGGACCACCTGCAGCGAGTCTTCATGATTCAGCTTATGTAATCATTGTATTGATTTTTCTATCATCTATCGCCTATGAACTAGAATTTATATTCAGGTGACAGAACCCGGGGTTCATTTTGCTTCCAGTTCACATTGTTCTTTTTTCCTAGATAAAGTAGAAAATACTCCGTATAAAACGGAATAGACATGCGTTTCTCATTCTCTACACATTTTGCACCCTAATTGGCTAGGCCAGGGCACTGAACCCCAGGGCACTGAACCTAAGGTGAGGAAACAGAAGATGAAATCTGTACTAAGGGGCTTCCTACGAACTCTTCAGGAGCTGCCCAGAGGAGGGATGCGGTGGCACACTATGAGCCGTGGGTCAGCCACCACGCCCTGGCTTCATATATTTTTTAAATTCAAGATTTGGCATTTTAAACCACTGTTTAGGGTTTTCTCCCATAGCAGTGACACCTGTGGCTATTGATCAGCCATTGCGGCCTGTTCCTGCAGAGCCCGGGCGGGCGGCTCTGGAGAGGAGGCCGAGGGGGGGCTCGTGGAGGACACTGAGCCTGGCCTCCAGCTCAGCATGATCCCCGCCAGGACAGATGTCTGCTGCTCATGCAACTCCCTTTCCACTAAGCATTTGCTGTTTTATTTTTTTTTAATATATTTTATTGATTTTTTTATAGAGAGGAAGGGAGAGAGAGATAGAGAGTTAGAAACATCGATGAGAGAGAAACATCGATCAGCTGCCTCCTGCACATCTCCCACTGGGGATGTGCCCGCAACCCAAGTACATGCCCTTGACCGGAATCGAACCTGGGACCCTTCAGTCTGCAGGCCGACGCTCTATCCACTGAGCCAAACCGGTTTCGGCAGCATTTGCTGTTTTAGATTCTCATGAACTTTTGATGACTCTTTAGCGAGTCTGGAGCCTTTTTGAGGTCAGAGTCTTCAGTCCTATTTTTCCATCTCCATTGCTGTCCAGTGTGCTATTGGGCATTTATTAAGTGCCCCAGTAGTAATTGTGAAATGGCTGAATGCATCTCACATTTGGCTCTGAAACATTTAAGCTTCCAGAATCTCTTTGAGACTTTGATGTGCAGAGTGAGTGTTCTCATTATTATACCCCTGTGATTATGGGACATCTGTTTATGCAAGCAGCCCTTTTTACCTAACAGCAGTCACTTAACCAATCCTTAGTTTACTCATCTGTGATAGGAAAAATGGTGATAGGAAAAAATGCACAAGAAGGTAATTTATAACTATTGAATGGTGTGTGTGTGTGTGTATGTATGTATATATATATATATATATATATATATATATAATTTGTATATTGCATATTTATATAATAATTTTAGTTCAATGATTATTAAATGAAATTCTAAGGATAATTAAAGCCAATTAGAATTGATATTACTTATTGCCATTTAATTTCCAATTTATGGCTAATGTGGTACAGCAAAAATATAAGAATAATGTTTTAGTGCTTAAAATACGGTCTCTCGATCTAATTCTTCTTTCTATATTGCCTGTTCCACTGACGTTGGCGTTTAAAAGCAGATTATGTTTATAGAGCAGTTTCCTCAATTCCAGACGTTTATGCCGCATCTTCATGAATTTCTTTGGCCACATCTACCTATTACTTGTTTCATTATTTACTTAATTAGTTCTATTTAAATTTTTTTTTTAAAATATATTTTATTGATTTTTTACAGAGAGGAAGGGAGAGAGATAGAGAGTTAGAAACATCGATGAGAGAGAAACATCAATCAGCTGCCTCCTGCACATTTCCCACTGGGGAAGTGCCCGCAACCCAGGTACATGCCCTTGACCGGAATCGAACCTGGGACCTTTCAGTCCGCAGGCTGACGCTCTATCCACTGAGCCAAACCGGTTTCGGCAGTTCTATTTAAATTTTTAACACAGATAAATGTATTAAAGTGGAAACATAGTATTGCTGTAAATATAAGGTAACTGGAAATAAAATAATTTTTCTAAATCTCAGGTAGCTACTATTGCTGGCCAAGGCTCTGATCCTGAGGTTGGCCTTCTTTTAGCTTCAAAGGGAGAATAGCAGACATTGAGGCTGTGGCCCCCAAATCACCACAAAACAGAGACTTTTGTGTGGAATGAACAGGAAGAAAGGAAGGCAAATTAGAGGGAACTGCTCACTTCCTATGTGACTTGTGGTTTCAACTTAACTCTGGACTGCCTACATCACGGCCCTGGTTGGAGCAGGCTCCAGGATGTCCCTTGTGAAACTCTGTCCGTGGTTTAAGGATGCTGCCCTGCCAGCCAGTGTGGCCGAGCTGACCTCTGACTGCCCTGTCCTCTCCACCGAGACATAAAGACCCTCGCTTGTCCCTTCGTAAGGCCTTTCTCTGTCTCACATGTTGCCCTGAACCTTTGTTAAGTACATCTTGTCTAATGCACTTCAGAAAATAATATTCTTTTCCCTTTCTGTGGATGAAAAAATATCCCTGATTTAAAATGTGAGTTTATTTATTCCTTGGCATAAATCAGCATGTTACCTGGGTCTCTAAGCATCCACACACTTCCACACAAGATCAGTTTATAAACAGTTCCTTGCTCTCCGGAACAGGGCATTAAAAGGCCTGATCTAAAAGATGAGCATTTCATGGGCTTTGAATGCCCACAGACTTCTGTAATCTAAAGAGGCCTCCGGCCCAACCCTGCCTCTCAGGGCGCACATACAGTCAGTCCCAGGGGCCAGTGAAGCCTCCTTTTAAGGTTGCCCCAGTGCTCTCTGAGAGGGAGGGTGCCTAGCCCACACTCACCGTGCCCCCCAAACCTGCTCTTCCTCCCAACACCTCCTTCGTTTTCCTATTTTCCCATTCCTTCCTACCCAGCCTCCCCAGGGTTCAGGCCCTGCCTAGCCAAGAGCAGCAGGCCCTAATGGGGCGTAAGCCCTGAGACCCTCCCTGTGCACAGCACCCTGAACATCCCCAGACCTGACTTCGCTCCACGCCACCTTAAATGATGCCCACACTGATGGGCATTTGAGAAATTAGTTAATCAAGCAATGGATCCGGCACCCTCTGAGAACTCCTGACTTGACTTTTATCTCTGTCAGCTTTCTCTCGTTAGCACATTGGGCATGTCGAGGAGCATTTTAAAGTAGATTTAGATTCCCTGGCTTTCTTATTTCTCAGGTTTTAGGTTTTAAATGGAAATATTTGAAAATCAACAGAAACAGCACTGCTACTTAGAAACTACTACAAATCTATACAATTCATGTGACTTTTTTTTTTTTTTTTTTTTTTTTTTTTTTTTTGCCGGTGTTCATAAAGAGCGGGAAAATCTTAGGCTTCCCTGAAGGAGTTTCAGCTTTTAAACCCTGGAATGTGGGCGCTGTGTCTGAGCCGAGCTCTGAGAGTGGTGTTTGCTGGCTTCCCGTGTGCTGTTATGTTGAGTCTTTATCCGTCCCCCTTGGACGACATTTCTAAAGTACACACGTTCTTCTGCCACTTCAGTCGAAAAGGTGGTGGTTTCAGAGATGTTTGCCCAGCTTCCCAGCCTGTTCCTCAGGAGTGCCACAGGCCATCATGGAGCAAGGGCACTAGGCTTCTTACACTTTATGAAGTGCTAGGACCTGCAGTGGGAAGCCCACCTGGGAAAACCCACCCAGGGCACAGATAGGAGGAGCAGACCTGTCCCCAAAACACAACTTTGTTGAAGCCCAGTGTTTGGCACTGATGAGAGCGCTGGGCCCTTTGGGAACAGGAGGTAGGTGGCGGGAATAGCTGTCCCCGGCAGGCGTCAGTGGGAACCATCAGGCATCTTTATTTCTCCACATTTGGGTAGAAAGGGACCGGCCAGCCATGGCCAGTGATGATCAGGGAAGCAAACACGTGGCCGTGCTGCTTATAACCCCATTGGAAGTGAGTTCTACATGAGGGAAATGCAAATCGATAGAAAAATCAGTTCACGCACATCAGGGGCATTTGGTCATGGTCATATTCAATAGGCAATGGCTTAGGTGACAGGCGGCTGACTCTCCCTCATTCTCTCTGCTCATTTTTTCCAGCTGAAGAGGCTGCTTCTGGGTTGTGAGCTGTTGGGGGAGATAAAAGAGCCCCAACTCCTACCTTGAATACCCTGGAAATGAGTTCCTTGATGCTGACTGAAAATGACACTTTAAAAAAAGAAAATGACACTTTCATAGGTGACTTCAACAGTCCAGCCCTTTTCAGTCTTTTGACCTTCCCTCGCCCTCCACTGCACCCTGAGCCGCCACCTGCCTGAAGTCACAGAATTCCAGCCACTTCATTAAGGCAGGTGGCAGAGGTCATTAGCATATTCATTTTCTCTCTTCAGCCACCATCGCTTTCCATTGCTCCCACTCCACTAATGATGGCCCTGTCACCTCTGCCCTGTCACACGCTTCCCCGATGGCCCTTCTGAGCCTCTTCTCAACAGGGTGTGGCTGTGCTGGGCTTCCCTGTGTCTCTGGAAGAAGGATGAAGTGGTACCAAAACAGCACACTAAGGGTTCGAAAACCATAGGCAATAAAACTATGCATTGGTTTTGTATTGTGTGCATGACCTTTTTATGTATTTCATTTTTTAGGAATCTGAAGCATTATTCCTCAAAGCAATTAAAGCTCATCCAAATACCGCAAGTTACCATGGCAATTTGGGTAAGGAAATTTTTCAATTTGAATCATAGTGAAAGTCTATGTAATTTTGATGAAATGGGTGTATTTCTGTAAAACTGATATTGGGAGAGTAGTTTTTTTCAAACATAGCCTGTATCATCCTTTCAAAATGTGTGTGGGCTTTGTTTTTGTTTTTTAAAGAAATCATTATACTAAAATGGGAGGTAAATAATAGTCATATTTACAGATCTTAATTATGAGACTAGAACAGCCTCCAAAATCATCCACTCTGATGATAAAACTCGGATTTTCTTTCTTCTTGCGAAGGATTTTAGGAATGTTAAACAGGCGTACTGTGGAAATTTGCTGTCTGACTTACAGCCTTTTCCCGTCTTGCATCGTGGACCTTCCATTCTAGCCTGTCCTTCTCCACTTCCTTATGTACTCCAGTGCCTCAGCTAGAAATGCATTTGCAAAGATTTGTTCCCTGGAATTCCTTTCTTCCATTATGCATCTCAATAACTAAGATTTTGGGAGCACAGTGGGTTGATGCTTAGAATGTTCAATCATGTGACTGTTTTTTTTACCAAATCTGTTCCCTACAGACTCTATAGTCACGACCCATGCATAGTTGCTCTTCTGCCCGTTTAGCAAGTTGGTTTTACCTACAAAATCATTATAATCTTCAGAAGCTTGCCATTCTAATAATTAGATTTACTTTAACTATCACTCTAGGGTCAGACCTTGATGTGAGCGTCCTTATTTTCAGCTGGCGACAAACAAGCTCTTATTTTGGGGGGATCTTTATGTAAATAGTCGGGGCTCTGAGCAATGAGGGAGCCTGCCCTAGCTATTCAGCCTGGCTTCCTGGAAATTTCATGGCAGGATTGAGAAACGTAATGTACTCTTCCTTTTATTCTTTATGTAATAATGTTGCTGTAGGGAGACGGCTCATGCCTAGTGATACGAAGACCCCCAAGACTAACTGGGGGTGTTTCAACAGACAGTCACGGGGAGTGTGATTACAGTAAATAAAGTTTGTGGTACAAGCAATATTATTTTAAACAATCATTTTTGAAAACAGTTCCAGAGGCTCTTCAATATTTCTTTGTAGAAGTGGTTGGGAACACTGCGAGTTATTCAGAGCATACCCAGTGAAACGCGTCTCTTGCTATTTCAGCTGTGCTCTATCATCGTTGGGGGCATCTAGACTTGGCCAAAAAACACTATGAAATCTCTCTGCAGCTTGACCCCACGGCACCAGGAACTAAAGAGAATTACGGTCTCCTACGACGAAAGCTGGAACAAATGCAAAAGAAAGATGTCTGATCCTTTTTCTTCCATTTGGTGTGTGTTTGAATGCATGAGGCATATCACTAATATTATGTAGCTATGTTTAAACATTTAAAAATCTTATGTGTTCTTTTTATTCTGTTTTTTTCTATGAAAACAAAGACATGCAAAAAGATAACAGCACCAGCAGTATACTCTTGAATACGTGATGTGGTTTTTGCATTGGAGTTGTATTTTTTCAGACCATTCAAATATAAATCCCAAAATTTCCAGAATGAAGTCTTTCTTAATTAAAAAGAAAAAGAGAAAAATATTATCTCAGCAACTTACATTAGAATTAACCCTGCCTTTGGGATGTGAACCGTGTTGTGTAGACTAGCACTTATTAAACATCAGCTGTGAACAGGAAATGACAAGCTGATTCCTACAATTTATATAAATATCAAATGTGTCTGTATATTAGGCATTTTATTTAATGACAACAAAGGGTAAATTAAGATTTTTGGGTTTTTTAATCTTTTTTTTTTAAATAATATAGTATGAACTTCATGTGTAAGGAAATATATTTATGTGTATTTTTATGCTCTGAACAGGGCAAATAATTGAGTGAAGAATGGAAATGTTAACATCTAGTACATTTATATACTTTTTCCTTCATAGGAGGAAGTTCATTCCTGCAATACTTTTTGGATTCTCCAACTCCTATAGTTTCATAACACAAAAAATTGTGTAGCATTCTACATGAATTGTTGCTATTAATAGAAAATCCAAGCTATGCTATAGGCAAAAGCAGGCAGCCTGGTGTCTTTATTTGTTATATCCAGTATTAAGAGGGCTACACATCTCTGTAAGTTGCTTTTTTACTGTTTTTAGCTGTAAAGCAGTTTACCATCTGGCTTAAGGGAATCCCAGTCATCACTATATTCAGAAAACGCAAGATGTGTATTTTCTCTCAAAAGAAGCCACATTTGGGGAGTTTGTGGTATTTTTAAGAATTGGATTATTTTTCTATTTTATTTGCTCAGAATAATCATGTTTGTCTTGTTTCATTCTTCTATATGTACTGTTGACCTAATGATTTACACAATCTCTGTGATTTCTTATGCAGTAAAATTATTGCACAAATCCTGTCTAGTATGTGGCTTCTATTTGGTGTTAGGGACCATTTAACAGAATCGGGTTTTTGGTGTGTTTTTTTACCCAGGTTGAGAGGACTGGGTGAATAGATCCCACGTTGAGATGAATTTGATTCTCTACACTCTTTCGGGGTGCACATCCACGTAGTTTCTATATCAGTAAGTGTAACTTGCTGGTCAGATGGTTCAGTTACATCAAAAAACAAAGTGCTAATCGATGTTTCTCTCTCATCGATGTTTCTAACTCTCTCTCTCTCTCCCTTCCTCTCTGTAAAAAATCAATAAAATATATTAAAAAAAGAAAGAAAAAAAAAGCCGAAACCGGTTTGGCTCAGTGGATAGAGCGTCAGCCTGCGGACTGAAAGGTCCCAGGTTCGATTCCGGTCAAGGGCATGTACCTGGGTTGCGGGCACATCCCCAGTAGGAGATGTGCAGGAGGCAGCTAATCGATGTTTCTCTCTCATCGATGTTTCTAACTCTCTATCTCTCTCCCTTCCTCTCTGTAAAAAATCAATAAAATATATTAAAAAAAGAAAGAAAGAAAAAAAAAAACAAAGTGCTGGTGGTTGACATACATCAGAAAAGAAAGTGCTGTGTTTCAAACAGTTCTTACATGGTCCCAAAATACCAGTAACAATTTATAGATCCATTAGGGGCAGGAGCTGTCTATTCTTATTTAGGTTCTTATAGTGCTTAACATGGCAGATAACAGATACACAATATCAGGGGTCCTCCAACTTTTTAAACAGGGGGCCAGTTCACTGTCCCTCAGACCGTTGGAGGGCCGGACTATAGTTTAAAAAACAACTATGAACAAATTCCTATGCACACTGCACATATCTTATTTTGAAGTAAAAAAAAACAAAACGGGAACAAATACAATATTTGTATTTTCATGTGGCCCGCGGGCCGTAGTTTGAGGACCCCTGCACTATATGGTTGTTGATTTTTTTTTTAAAGCAAATTTCTTTAAAACAGTACTTCTCTTTTGAGGGTAAAGAAAAAAAAAATATGTCTTGTAAAAGCCCCTCTAGGATTCTTTGTTTCCCCTCTGATACTAAAACTTTAGTGTCAAATCGAGACGTGCAAATCTAGGACTCCAGCCTATGGAACAAACCCCCTTCGCTTTCCCCACTGTCTCCTGGGGTTGCATTGCAGCTGTCTGCCTTCTTTCCAGAGAAAACAGTCCTGAGTCTGATCGATATTTCAGGAAGTCTTTAGCTCTGCAGAGTGTGGCAGTGCAACGTGCTGCCTCTTTTTCCTTCCTTCTTTTTCAACTTCAAAGCAGCACCCCCTTCATTCCTTGGTTTCCTTCCTAAGGAAACTGAAGTGGAAAACTGTATCCCAGTCCCCCTCTTATTTGGCATCTTCTTAAATTGTAATGTTTTTATTGCTAGTCATCGTCGAGGTTTGGTAAGGGAATTTCAAAACAAATATGGGGGCCTGGGCCGGCGTGGCTCAGAGGTTGAGTTTCGACCTATGAACAAGGAGGTCAAGATTCGATTCCCCGCCGGGGCACGTGCCCGGGTTGCGGGTGAGATCCCCAGTGGGGGCGTGCAGGAAGCAGCCGATCGATGATTCTCTCTCATCATTGATGTTTCTATCTCTCTCTCCCTTCCCCTCTGAAATCAATAAAAATATGTTTTAAAAAAAAACAGACATGGGCGAGGGAAGGGTTGCCACTTGGGGAAATCTGAGATTCCTAATCGTCATCCTTCACCTCCCTAATAGTGAGCATCATGAAACCCAGATGGCGATCTGGGGTTGTTCTTAGTTTGTTTAACATGTATTACTGCTACAACTCTCCCCCGTTTTAATGCAGTTTTATATTTCTTAACTAGAGGCCTGGTGCATGAATTCGTGCACAGGTGGGGTCCCTCGGGCTGGCTGGTCATCAGAGTGATTGGAGCCGTCTCGCCCAGTCCAGGGGGAGGGACTGCGGGAGGTTGGGGGTCAAACCCGGGGGGTAGGGAATGCGGGAGGTTGGCTGTGGGAGTGCACTGACCACCAGGCGGCATCTCCTGCATTGAGCATCTGCCACCTGGTGATCAGTGTGTCATCATAGTGAACAGTCGACGGGTCGTTCAGTCGGCCGGTTGTAATGGTTACTTAGGCTTTTATATATATAGATGTATTTTGCATCTTGAGACCCATTATTCATTCCCTGCCTGCCCAAGTAGACAGTACTGAACTGTGGCAGTAATTCCACAGCCTTCATTCCTCTTTTTATCCCCCTCGGGTGAGCTCCACTCCTGAATGTCCCCACAAGTGTCTGTGTCTTTGATTAGTGTGCCTCCTCTCTCAGTGGCCTCTCTCTTTTAAAAAGTACAGCTTTTCAAAGCCGTAGTCCATTTTGACCTCCATCCTACTAGATTTTAGATTAATACCAGCAATCTGAGATTGTTTCTCCTCTTCTATCACTTTTTATTTGAAGGTAATTATAGATTCACATGCAGTTGTAAGAAATAATAAAGAGAGCTCATACACCCTGCACCCAGTGTCCCCCAATGGTAGCATCTTGCATGACTGTAGTACGTTACCACAGCCAGGATATTGACATTGATGCACCCACCAGCCTCATTTAGATGTCACCAGTCTTAAATGAACTCATTTGCATGATTTGCTCTATGCAGTTTTTATCACACGTTTAGATTTGTGTTGTCACCCTAGTGAAGATAGAGAATAGTTCCATTACAAAGGATCTCTTGAGCTACTCTCATGTTATTACTTTTTTCAAAATATTTTCTTGAGCACTGACAGTGTGCTAGCAGTGCGCTAGCTGCTGTGGATACAATGGAAAATGAAAACAGATGGGCCGCCCAGCCAGGAATGGCTCAGTGATTGAGCATTGACCTACGAACCAGGAGGGTATGATTCGGTTCCCCGTCAGAGCACATGCCTGGGTTGTGGGCTTGATCCCCAGTGGGGGCATGCAGGAGGCAGCCAGCCAGTCAATGGTTCTCTCTCATCATTGATGTTTCCATCTCTCCCTCTCCCTTCCTCTCTGAAATCAATAAAAATATATTTAAAAAAAAAATAAACAGTAATAAAACAGATGGGATTCCTGCCCTTGGGGAGCTCACAATTTAGGTTACCTCAACCTTCTTGTATACCTGATGATGCATGCTGGTGTAGACATCTGGGACTAAGCTATTGTTAACAGCCCCCTCTCCGGGGACTTCTTGGGGAGTCGCTCATTCACGTTTCCACTTGCTGCTACCTGTCCAAGTGTTGCAGGTTGTCAGGGCATTTCTTTCTTTCTGTGTTGAAAATTCTCCCTCAGTTTGTAAATCTGTTTGTTTTTTTTTCCCCCGGAGGCCGTGAAACAGAGAATCATCTCAAATTTTCTTGGTCAATATCTGCTTCCTAAGAACAGATATTGGTTCAGCTGCCTTTGCCTTCTTCCTTTGACCTCATATTGATGTAAAAACTTTGCCAGGCATCCAAATGCCAGGGAAAACAGAGTTCTGCTGAGACAAGAGTTGAGTAACCCTGATTTTCAGTAAAGTGAGACATTTAATATTACTTGATTCGTTCATAAATACCAAATATGTTTGTTATCACAGTCTCATTTTAAAACCCCACACAGTCTTAAATGGTCTCTCTCAGCTCTAAATTGTACCAAGAAGATAATTAATTTTGGTGATGGCCTCTTTCAGGATGATGTTCCTCACAAAATGCTGATCAGAGCTGACCTCTAGTTCAAAGCAGAAGGAGCAAAGGTCCTCTGTGGGACAGTTTGGTTGCAATGAAGCAGACAAGGAAAGAATGGTGGAGACAGGAGCCCAGGGGATGCTAACAGATATTACAGGTCTTCACGTGTTCTTCTTTTCTTTTCTTTAAACTTATGGGAATCGCAGTGTATATTTACATTGGCTTTTTGAGAGGAATAGAATTGGAGTGGAGAGAGACTTCTCCTTTGCAAATTTCTGCATTATTTGAAATAAGTTTTCTTTCTAAATAAAGGAGCATGTGTGACAGCACAGAGAAATCTTTATTCACAAGGGCCATGGATGCGTTCGTAATAAAGCTGTGATAAGGTTCCTGCTGGGAAAGAAACACCATAAGGGAAACTCAGGTAGCCCAGGTGTTTGCTAAATTGCTTTGCCCAACAGACAAGAGACGCTGAGGAGACTCTGGCCCCAGAGCAATGCTGAGTGGAAAGAATTGGGGAGGCAGCATTTTTCAGATTACTGGCTGAACTACTGGAGTGTAATACAGACTCCTCTCTGAAGCGTGTCTTTAAATCGTCAGTGAATTCTGTGTGCGCTGTGACTCCCTCTTGGTGGGTGTCTGGAAATAGCTGGCATTTGGGTACGCAAAGCTTGAATGTGCGATGAAAGCATGTTACAACTGGCTTTGAATCCCATTCTTCCATTTACTAGTTGTATGAACTTAGGCAAGTGTAGTGCAGCGGTTCTCAACTTGTGGGTCGCGACCCCTTCGGCGGTGAACGACCCTTTCACAGGGGTCGCCTAAGACCATCCTGGATATCAGATATTTACATTACGATTCATAACGGTAGCAACATTACAGTTATGAAGTAGCAACGAAAATAATTTTATGGTTGGGTCACAACATGAGGAACTGTATTTAAAGGGCCAGAAGGTTGAGAACCACTGGTGTAGTGGGTTGAATAGTGTCCTCCAAAATTCATGTCTACCTGGGACTTCAGGATGGGACTGTATTTGGAAATAGTGTCTTTACAGATATAATTAGTTAAGGAGGTAGAGAGGGAATCATACTGGATTTAGGGTGGGCCCTAAATCCAATGACTGGTATCATATAAAAAGAGAAGGCCATTGCAGATGGAGGCAAAGATTGGACTAATGCTGCCACAAGCCAGAGAACACCAGGGAGCCACCGAGAATTGAAAGAGATGAGGAAGGATCCTCTGCTGGAGCCTTGAGAGGGAGCTGGGTCTTGCCCTCACCTTGACTTTGGACTCTGGCCTCCAGAACAACATTTCTACATGAAGCCACCCAGTTTG